CCCCCCCCCATCCTTGGCCATGATGATGGGAAAGGTCTCTGGGCTGCTCTCAGCCGCTGCACCCCCACCAGGTGCCCAAGGCTTGCCCCCAGTTTGCCCAGACTTGGCACCCGCTCGCACACGCGGAGTCCCAGGGACAGAAAGCAGCTTGCTTAAATATTTAACCAAACCATATGGTGCGTTACACGTTCGAGGGTGTTCAGTCAGGTGATATATGTCTTTACGGATCCAAGCATATGCGCTTGCCTACACAGATCTATTCCCTGGCACACAGACACCCTCCTGCCACTGGCACTGACTATATCCCTGTTGTTTTCACCTCCAAACACCCGTCCCAGAGCCAGCGCAGGTACAAAAGCTCACGTAAGACCATGCACGTAGCCCTTGGCCCTGCCATCTCCTGTCATCATCACTTCCCCACCCATCTTCCTTGAGTGCAATGACCACGCTGCTTGCCTGGGCTTCCCTCTCCCCGACACCGCGTCCCCACCGCTGTCTCCTGACACACTCCTCAGCATGGCTGAGCTCCCCAGGCATCCCAGATTTCAGACACACACCAGGCAAGAGACCCCTGAGTATGAGGGGAGCATGAATCTGGAGCAACCTCTCCAGCAGAGACAGGGAAGGAGACTTCAGATGAGCCTTTCGCCAAGTTGGGTGCCTTCAAGGAGAAATTTCATTTTTTTGCCTTAACCACCTCCTTTCTACCTAGTTTTGGGAGGCAAGCAAGTAACAGAAAGACACACATGAGCTTTCCAGACCTACAAACCCCTTCTAGTGTGGGCGCTGGGCAGAGCGAAGTTCCTGATGCTGTGCAGGAGTCGCAGCCCCCAGCAGCAGCCTGCAAGCGAGCGGACTCTCCCGGTAAGCCTGGGAGTGCCTTGCTTCCCCCTCATAAAACATGCAAACCTCCATCTTCCAGCACGAGCAACATCTGCTCCAGATCAAAGGAAACAACAAAGAACAACTATAAAAGTGTCTCGAAGAAAGAAAAAGAGGGAGATTCAGACTTGCGTTCTGCAGGCGATCTGTGATGTGAACTGGCAGCTTCCTGAACATCAGGCTGTGGCTGCTCCTGCTTTTAATAACAGCCTCTTACTGCCGTCACCCACAGACTTCCCCGTGTTTTACAGAGCACTGCTACCACGGGTCCCACCTCCGGGACTCGGTGAGGGGGAGCCCCGAGTGCCCCAGCCCTCTTTGTGGTGATGCTACAAGCCTAAGGACATGCTCCTGGGCCAGCAACGGAGGGGTCTGCCAAAGCCACCAGGGACGGGGTCCAAGGCAGGAACCCCAACATCAGGCTCCCCATCCGACCCCTCCAAGTTGTAACCAGACAGCTTCCTCTCCTCCAGCAGCAGCTCCCGGGTCGGGAGAAGGCCCGGTGCTCCAGCTGCCTTCTCCCTCTTTTGTGTTCAAAACCCTTCTGCCTTTTTAAGGAAGGCAGAAAGCAAATTGAGAGACCTGCACCTTCAACTACAGGTGTATTATAATGGGCTTTTAAATCACTTTGTGCCACTCTAACACAACCATAATTAAGAGAAAGCAGAGAGGGCTTCACCCTTCCATCATATCAACACAGCTCAGGAGCTGCACTGAGGAAGTCCATGGGGTGTGAGGATGGGCAAAGACAGCTTCAGAGCCTGTTTCCAGCTACATTCCTTGTATACAAACCCCTTTACAATTCCAGGGGCTCATCCTGCCCCCCGGGGCTGCCTCTGCCCTGGGGTTTGCACAATCCCCCCCTTCCCCACTGGTGTGCTGGATTCGGGCTTTGCCCGAGGCCCCTCTGCACAAACCTGGCGGCAACCAGAGAAAGCAGCCTGGAAATGAAGAGGATACACGTTACGGCCTTAATAAGCAATTAATAAATAACTAATGGCAATTGCTTGTTTTAAAGAGAGGCCTAATGAGATGTGTCATACAGCACCGAGATGTGTCTAAATGATTTCCCAAGCAGATAACGG